GTCCAGGTAGGATGGTTTTGTGTATCTTCAGAAGGCAGGAAAAGTCTCCTATGCGAGAAATATGCATAGGGGTGAGAGTGTGTAGGATACTCTGAAGGTCTGGATCAAAGGTCTTGATCAGTCTTGAGTTGATGAATGCATTCTTTGGTCAGATTGGCAGGTAATTGTCTGTAGTGTTCCTGGTTGTTCAGTTGTCGGTATGCTTCTTTGCAGTTGTCCATTCTGTTCTATATGACGATGGCTCCTCCTTTGTCTGCTGGTTTGATAACAATGTTGCGATTAGTCTTGGGAGCATGAATGGCATTGTGTTGTGCTTGGGTAATGTTCTGCGCTATCTTGTGAGCACAGCTGATGAATCTGGCATTAACACATCTCCTGACGGCTTGTGCATACATGTAACTCCAGCCTTCTGGAGGGGTCCAATTCGACTCTTTCTTCTTTAGTCGCTGCAACGTGGATTTCTGGTCAGCTGTTCTGGTTCGTTGGTTGTCTCACTGCTGACATATTGGGGCTTGTGGAAGAATTCCTGGAGCCTCATTCATCTGATGAATTCCTCTGCGTCTGCCGCAAGTCCAAGGGGGTTCATTTTGGTAGTGGGACAGAAATTGAGTCCTCGGTTGAGATCTTTAATTTCATTCAGTCAAATAGTGTGGTCAGACAAGTTGATGATGGATTTCTCTGTGGTGGTACTGGCTTCAACTGTCATACCAGGGGAGGCTTGGTTACTGCTGGAGGTGACACCAAGTTTCTCCAATTTCTTGTTTTTGGTGTGGATGTAGGTGGTGTAGTTCCGTTGCCTTGTCTGCTTGGTAGTGTGTCATAGCTGAGAGCAAGCTGAGAATATGGACTCTATCTCGATTTCAAGGTTACACTATCTGTTGTAGAGTTGTTGTACAAGATGATTGAGGAGTGTGCGAGAGGTGCAAACGCAAAGTCTCTCAGTGTAGCCTGTGTTGTAGGTCGACTTGAGTGGGCTTATGATATGGAGTTCTTTCGGGATCTTCTCTGCTTTCTTAAAGATCTGCAAAAACTTGATGTATGTGACGATATGCATGATCTCCTTCGAGATTTCTTCCTTTGGACTCATGGCGAGGAATCACTGAACCGACCACATAATGATATCAATAAATTTCATCCCACCATCAGACTTACCATGAGCTACTCTTCAGAATCAGTCTCATTTTTGGACAAAAACATGTATCCCCATCATGACAGCCACCACAGTATCTCACTCTACCGCAAGCCCACAGGTAACCTCACAATGCTGCACTTCTCTAGCTTCCATTCTAAACATATTAAAGAAGCCATCCCCTGCGCATACACAGGATCTGCTCAAATTAGGAGGAACATGACAGGCACCTAAAGATTTTGATGGATGCCCTCATAAGAATGGGATACGATGCTCAACTCATCGATCACCAGTTCCAACGTGCCACAGTGGAAAAACTGCAATGACCTCCTCAGAAGACAGACACAGGATACAACCGAGAGAGTATCCTTCATCATCCAGTACTTCTCCAGAGCACAGAAACTACGCCATGATCTTCACAGCATTCAACACATCATCGATGATGACGAGCGTCTCACCAAGATTGTCCCCATACCTCCACTTCTCTTCTTCAAACAACTGCCAAACCTTAAATGGACCAACTACCCAGACTTCAAGAGAACATTGACCACAACACCACACATCCCTGCCATGGCAACCTCTGCAAGACAGGTCAGATCATTGACGTGGACACTACCATCACACGTGGGAACAACCACCCACAAAGTACACGGCAGAGACCTATGTGACTTGACCAATGTTGTCTATCTCATACGCTGCAGGAAAGGAAGCCCTAAAGCGTGGTACATTGGCGAAACCATGCAGACGCTGCAACAACAGATGTATGGACACCACGCAACAATTGCCATGCAGCAATGTTCCTTTCCAGTCGGAGAACACTTCAGCAGTCAAGGACATTCAGCCTCCGATCTTTGAGTAAATGTCCTCCATGGTGGCCTTAGAGATATACAACACAGAAGCTGATAGCTAAGTTCCCTACCAATGAAAACGGCCTCACCAGAGATCTTCAGTTCATATTGCGCTACATGTAAACCACCACACTATATCTGAAAATCTTACTGCCTGTTTTGTCATCAGCACCTGGATAAATTCGTATGATCTCTCTACCTTAATTAGTTTGTATACTTTGGATTACATATGACTTTGGTTAGACCCCTGGCATGCAACTCTTGTACTTATGTTATTCCAGTCATTTGGTTTGTGTCCAGCACCACCTCATTTTTAATGTTTTGTAATTATCTCTCTGCCTCATTTAATCAGATTATAAATCATCCCTTTGCTTGTTATTCAGCTGTTGACACTTTACTCACACCATCTAACATTTCGAATCACCAGCAGGGACTTATTATTCGGCACTCCACTCACACCATTTGTATGGTCTTTTGATCTCTGCCCATAAATTCTGTGTTCTGTACGCTTCTCTCTCTCTTTACCCGATGAAGGGGTATCACTTCGAAAGCTTGTGATTTCAAATAAACCTTTTGAACTATAACCTGGTGTCATGTGACTTCTCACTTATCTATAGTATTGCCTTGCCATATTTTCAAAACTGAATCTTCACTATGACATGAATCTGTCTGGTTCTGTCTTGAATTCCAGTCAAGGTTGCTTGTTTCATGACTCATTGGTTCTCTGCCAATGAGGACAATTGTTGCCCGAATTCTGAGCTGCTTTTCTATTGGCCGTATGAGATACCTTCCTGAACAAAAACAGAAGTTGCTGGAAAAGCTCAGCAGGTCTGGCATCTGTGAAGAGAAAATCAGAGTTAATGTTTCAGATCCGGTGACCCTTCCTCAGAACATTGAGCAACTTCTGTTTTTGTTCCTGATTTACAGCATTTGCAGTTCTTTTGGTTTTTATGAGATACCATCCTACTTTTAACACAAGGGAACATTTGATCCATTGGAAACTGCTGAGAAAATAGACACCGTTAATGCTGTTCATTCTTCACTCCTCATGACAAACTGAGGAATACCAAATCTTGAAAGAGAACAAGAAAACAAAATGTTAATTGATTGGTCAGTGAACTCATTGGTTGAAGGATTACTGCAGACAATTTATCACAAAATGGTTATTCCCACAAGCTTGTGTTCAAATATACTAAAGGCAAATGGATTTTGGTTCAGTGTTGTTGTATGGAGCACTGTAGGGAATTTTTGTTACAGACACTTCTGTTTAATTGAAAATAATGTATTACCCGGCTGTGTTCTTTCTGTCTGCAGAGGACAGAACTTTGCCTATACAGACCCTGTCTTTCAATTTTTCTACATTTTTGATTGCAGACTGAATTGGGAAAGGATCAGTTTTAAAAATCAAAGCTTGTTGAAAGATTGTTCACTTTTTGAAAAAAATACAAGTAACCTACCATTCATTTTAATCACTATTTAAATTCTGTTTGCTCAAACAGTAGTGGAAGCCTAGTTTTCAGACAGGTTAGAGGCAAGGACTGCGTACGAAGAATGTTTTGACTGACAGTAAGTAGCTGATTAGTTATTAAGACAATCACTAGTCCATAGACCATCTGTCAGGTAACAACTATGTCATTGACTACCATGCAGCTTGGGAGGGTGAATATTTTGGTATACGCCATTTAATCCTGGTGAAGGAGATATTTTCCTCTGCAATAAAAAGTATCTCAAGTTTGATGATAACCATTTTATTTGATCTTTCAGGCTGCTGAAAGCTGTGCTTCTTAAAAAGCCTCTGCTTTATTAATTTAAGTGTGAAATAGCCACCCTGTACCACTACAAGGAAGTGAAAGTGTTTGGAGGAAAAATCAAGGAATAGCAAGTCCTGACAGGCCAAAAGAAGAATCCCAGCAGACTCTGAGCATGAACCCTTGAGCTGCCTTGAGTCTTTACCCCCCCCCAACTAAAACACTTATTTCATCTGTGGGCTACATTTGAAACAAAGTTAAGGTATGGAAAGAGTGCATTAATCCATCATTCCAGCCAGTTAGCTCATTTCAGCCATTTCCAGTGTATTGCTGAATAGTAACTGTTTCAAAGAGAGGTTTGTCTTCCCCAAACCCAGCTTAGAATGTCTGCATTAGAGTTTGACAGACCTACCTTCCACTTACATTCCTTTTTCAAAAAAAATGCAATGTCACATGACAGGAAGTGGAAGTGTAGTATTATTTTTCAATAATTTACCATTTTGACTTGATCAAGTCAGCACTTAAATCATACTTGATTTTAGTGTGTAGAGATGTCGAACAGTTTCTGCAAGAAAGCCATACAGCCAAAAGTAACCATCAAATGCATACAGCACAGAAAGAGACATTCAGCCCACTGTGCCTGTGCCAGCTGAATAAACTTGCAGTTTTAAGGTTGCTTTTACAGCTCAAGTTCATGTGAACTTAGGCGAACAAATGTGAAAATGCTTTGGACTTAAACACTTTTATTCAAAAGATACAGCAATTCTTTAATATGTAAGTTAAGTTACAAAATTAAACCATAACAGCAAAAACTGAAGATTGAAAGAGAATTTCAGTCAACATAAGAGACTGAGAGACCTGTGTCCAGTCACCCACTGTCACAAACTGGAATCCAAAGCGGACTGACTAAACAACTGTTTTAAGTATTATTTCTCTCATACTGTTTATGAAAAATTTAAATTCTGTAAATTTTTTAAACTTATTGGTAACTGCAAACAATCTTGCAACCATTTAGGACCAGTAACCCTTTGAATGGCTCTCTCAAAACTCAATCTACAATTGTAAGGCCTATTAGGGCTCTTGAGGCATAATGATAATGAGCTCCAGGTTCAAGTTCCACCTGCTCCAGAGGTGTGTCATAATAAATCTGAATAGGCGAATTAGAAAATACCTATAATTATAAGACCTTAGTTAATGATAATTATAATTGAAGTCAACCCAAAATCATATTGAATGCCACCAATGTACTCTTGAATAAATAAATACACTAGAAAGTGGAACAACAAATTTTCTTTAATGATCTTGAGTACTCTAAATTTCTAATGTGTGTTTGGTTACCTGTAGCAAACAACTGCACAGTAAAAACATTCACCTTTAAATATCCGAACTTTATATCACAGTAAGAAAATACATAAAATATGCTTTGTAAGACTTGATGACCAAAAGTATAAACATTACAACTTTCAAGAAAATGCTTTATTGTTAATCTAGACGTCTAAACGCATCTAGATCACCAACAGAACTATTTGGTACTGAATACATCTTGTTTTTTGAAAAATGGATCTGAATGTAAAGTCACTTAAATTATTTTTGTTTTCTATAATTTCCAAAAATGTCTTTAGGAATGGGATTTTCAAATCAAAGTTAAGCCTTCCTGCACAGTAACAATCAGAAACAAGGGTTCATCCACATTACAAAAGAAATGGAAAGCCTAACTGTGAGAAAAAATATGCCGCTTTTAGTGCGTAATAAATCAATTAGGAAATTAATTTTATGTATATTGTAAAACTGCTGATTCATTCTTCACAATCAGCAGTATTACAACATCTTCAACTTTGCTCTTGTAGCACATAAAATTCTTTGTGCCTCAACATCAATAAACAATGATTTTATGTACAATTCTTTAAAGCTTACTGTTGTGCTTCTGAAACACAGAGAATAAAAGTTGAATTGACAAAAAATCCAAGTCACTTGTGGAACCTACATCATTATACAGACTTCACTGCACCACTGTAACTGGGTATGATGTACTTGCTATTTTAATAAAAACAGGTCATGATCTTACATCAGAACTAATATTTTAATGTTCTGTACAGCAGTCTGGCTCCAACTTTTCAAATTCCAGCAAGTCCACGAATGTGAACTGTACCAAATTTAAACTATTATTGGCCAGAGATACAACAAGTTGAAAAGTCATTGATGCCATGAATCAGGCATTCATTTAAACTGGACCAGCATCAATATTACATGTCCTAGACACACTGAATTTTAAATAGGTTACTAATATCTGTTTTGTGCTGGAGGGTAGTGGGTATGCAGGGAAGTAATTAAACTATCAGATTTACTTTGGAGTAAAATTTGAGATAGATTCTTGCAAACAGGAAACAACAAATTTGCCAGCTCCAAAAAAAAATTAAAACATCTTATTACAAATCAATTCCTAAATGTTTTGTTTTCATATAATGTTTTCAAAGTTCAGTTTAATCATCTTATTTGAATCAATTTTCATATCAGGTGCCACAGCATTTAGTAATAGTTGTCAACTACACTGTAGTTACTTTAAATCAAAACTCCAACATATAGCAACTGCAGGCATTACAACTTTGGTGCTGCCCCACAGAAATGACTGATTTCTATTTCACCCACTAAGTTATTTATCGGTTTCTATACACTTCCAAATTGCATTCTTACGATGGAGCTGAAATCCAGATATTTACCAGGTTTATAGGCATGCAAGATAATATCAACTTAGCACATAACTATTCAACACATGTAAATAGGGTTGTTCAACTCAGGTGAACAATATTTCCAATTTTGGATATTTGCACCAAAAGTCAATATACTAAAAGTTGTCTAAAGGTAATCTTTGTAAACACTGCAGTTTATTTTGAAGTTGAAACCAGGATACAAATCACCTCAAGGTTTAACTGACATGTTTAGCACGCAACAACATAACTAAGATTCCACAATAGGACAATGCTCATCTCGAATTCTTTTTAAAAATTGCTCTCTAGCTTAAAATATATAAACTCAACCAGTTATTTCAGGATACTCAGTCTGAAGAAGATATCTAGTGCACATTTTCCAAAATACAATAGAGTTTTAGTTCTTCAGATTGGTTTCCTTTTTGTATCATCTAGTACGTTTTACTAAGTATACTATTGCTTATATGCAAACACACAGCTTGAAATAATGCTGTGGAGAATTAAAAGAATCATTATATCTCAGCCATCCCAAGTAGACTTGGACAAAACCTATCTACTTCATTGAAAGGAGTCTTAAATTCCTAAAAGCTGGCAGGTTTCGATGATACATGGTTAAATTTTATTTAAAGTTCGCATTATAAATGAAAGGGCTTGATTGGAGTTGGGCATCAAGAGTGAGGGGATGGTATTAATTGCATGCCTCATGGGTTAAGTGTGGAAAACCAATCAGCTAAACTCTGGTGAGGGACTGCTGGATCAGGAAATGAAAAGACCTTTGCACCTACCTGCAGGATTCAATATGCTTGTCAATCTACCCACCCTCACCACAATCCTTCTAAATGCTCTCCAATTTCTCAGCTTTTCCCAGGCCCCCAAACCCCACTCAAGTCTCTGAATATACGACCCCTCCCCAAAGGACGACACTGACCACTCCACCCTAAACAAGATTGCTGAATTCTCACATGCAACACCACCTAATACTTTGCTCAGTCCTTCAAACTCCCTTACAAGGCATATGGCTGTACTGTGGTGTCTTCCTCTTGCACCAGCCTATCGTTACTGAGGCTTTTGACAAACACATCCAAAACTGCACCCACTACCCTCCCAAACTCAGGATCCCAACACTCTGTACATGAGGCCTCTAACCACCACTCTTTCCTCTCCGGACCTCAACCTCCCAGCTGGATCCCTGCTGTGATTCCTTGCAATCTAAGCCCTCCCCTCTGGCAGGTCAATCCAGTTAAAGATCACCCAGCTTCATGTGAAACCTCTATATATTTAAAAAGGAGATTTATTGGATACCTGTTAGAAATTAATAATAGTTCATTTAGTTATCAGTTTGTTGAAGCTCATTCTCCCTCTTGCGCTACATTTGATTACTATACAATATTCAATTTGCTTCTATGATTAGTGAAAATGTGCATTCTTCAGTAACAATCTTTACTCAGTCAGTCTAGTCCATAAGAAGAACCCAGACGCAATTAGGTAAAAAGAAGCCAATACTTCATGCTTTGAAATGTCAAGATACAACTTGTATGCAATTATATTTACAGTAACAATTAGTGTAGTTAATATTTGATTCCTGACAAGTTGGATGTAAAAGTGCATTCAAATAAACATTAGATTTTGTAAATGTTTAGTTGTGTTAATTTTAAGTCTGTATTATGGTTTACCATAATCTGCATGCTTTACTCATTGTTAAAATCATTATGAACTACCCCTTCAATCTTGCTGTGCTCCTCATTCTCATAATTTAATTAATCCGCAAAACAATCTACCAGGTGGGCATCATATCTGGGAACCATACTCTTCCCAGATACTTGGAAACTTCCCAGTGGATTTGCTCCAAGTTATATTTCTGATCTGGTATTAGTACCTCCTCCATAATGGACAGCTGAGTCAGCCGCCCTCCACACATTTTCACAAACTCCACAAATGCACTGCATGAAACCTCACATTCACCCAGACCCATTGCAGTTAGATTTTTGCAACGTTCTGCAATGCAAATCAATTCATCATCCAGAGGCTGAAGACCATTTGCACAGACTACCAGTTCGATCAGTCTTGGGCAGTTCATTCCAATACGACCCAACAGTTCTTTACTGACTGCACGACCAAAATAGATGTGTGTGACTGGAGTTTCATCACGGAAAAATGGGTCAAATTCTTCTTCATATAGAAAGAAATACATGACAATGTTGACTTTTGGAGAATGGTTCACAAGAGCATCCCAGCTACTCTTTTTGATACTGTGGAACTGTGTCTGTCCAGGGTTCTCACTGACCACATCAATGCGAAGATGTTCCAGATGAACATGCTTCTCGCTGGATAAAGCCAACAACAACTCATCACTCAGAAGGTAATAGTTCAGTGCCAACTCTCTGAGGCCATAACACTGATCTGCTACACAAAGAATACCTGCATAGGGAATAAAATGTAATATCTATTTAACATATGACTAACAAAGACAGACAATTCAATGGAAAAAAATAGTCACTAGTAATTTGAACTAAATGGCAAGGTAGGACAGGATAACAGTGCCTTTTCTATTTTTCAGACAGAATTAAGATGAAATTCTCCTGCCTCTGCTAGATGGCTTTAAGTAAAATGAACTTTGATAGTTTTAATTCCATTCTTGATGGGAATAGCCCATGTTAAAACAAAACAGCAATTGCCAAAATATAAATAAAAGGCCAGCAATAAAATTATCAGAAGTACAAAAGGATTATTTTTCCACAGTCCCCGTTGCTCACAACTGTACAAAAAGCAACAATTGCAGGTATCTAGTGGAAGATACCAAGAACTGCAAATGCTGGAGTCAGAGTCAACACAGTGTGGAGCTGGAGGAACACAGCAGGTCAGGCAGCATCAGAGGAGCAAGAAA